AGGGGCTTTAGAACTTCGTGTTTAAAATCCTCTAAGGCTTCAGTGTCCTTCCCAAACTACTTGTCTCTAGAGAAGTCTCTGATCCATTTCCGCCACCTTCTCACGGGAAATGGCTCCTGTGTCTCGCTGCTCCGCATGTCAAAACATTTCCCCTCACATTTCACCTAAACACCTCCTCTGCTGCAGTGTGAGCCCTTGACTCCAGAGCCTTCTCCCTGTTGCCATGGCAAACAAGCAACTGCTGCACTACCTCCTCCCTTCACCCCCCACACACCAACTCATCCCCCCCCCACCCCAAGCACTGCAGCTCCTGCTCTGCTGTCCCCAGCTCGGGTTCCTCTAGCGGACTGAGACCCTTTACTTTTTAACATACCTAGTGCCACTCTGGTCATCTCCCAGAACCTCCCTAGTTACTTCCAGTCCTGCTACTCTTTCAGGTCAAAGAAAAGCCACCCCAGCCCTCAAGTTCTCTGCGCTAGTTACAACCTGCTGCTGTGTTACCCTCTGAGTCACCTCCCATCTGCTCTGGGACGCCCCAGAAAGCAAATCCAGGCAACCTCCTCCGTGGTCCCAGTGCTACCGCCTTATTCACCTCTCTCCTCCCCTTCCCCCCATTCCCAAGGGAACGGTGCACAAAGGTAGGGGTCTTGGGCCTTTTTGGTGCCTCTGGGTTGCCACTACCACTTAGCTATCCCTGGGGGCTTGCTGACCCCATTCTTTAAGGGCCCTCTGTGCAACCCTCCCACCTTCCAGTTATCAGCCAGGTCCTTACTAGCAGCAGGGCTGCAAACTGCTCGCTGTCATTCTTGGCCTCACGGAGGGCTCCCAGGTAGCGCTCCAGGGTGGGGTTTCGGCTCTCTGCCTGGTTCAGAGCTGGCTCACAATCCGAGGCCATGATGCCCGCCTTCCCCAACTGTGAACACAAGAGGGACTGAGCATCCCTCTGCAGAGGAGGGGCGGGGGCGGGGGTGGAAGTGGAGGATGTAGGGAGGGATTAGTACAGAGGGAGGGGAGGGTGGATTTGGAAGGGTGGCTTCCTCATGACTGACCTCCCTTGGGGGAGCCCCTTTAAGAGGCCGGACCTGCAAATTCTTTAGGATTAAGAAGAGACCCTGGTCCAAGGTCACCTCCAGAAAAGTGGGAAACGGCGACCACTCATGCTGCTCCTCAGCTGGACAGCTCTCCTCACCAGTCTAGAAGTGGGAAGAAGCTGGCCCCACTGCTCGGCAGCCCCTGACACCAGATACCGGGTTTTATCTCTCTCCAGGAGGCACATGGGGAGTGAGTGGTGAGGACAGACAGGGGGAAATGAGAACATACACGGGTGAAGTTCGATTATCCGGACTCACGCTGACAAGAGAGAAAAGGACATTCTAGGGTCCCTTTCCCCTCCCTTCTTCAGAGAAAGTAGACTGGCTTCAGCAGAAGTGAGAAGGCAAGCTCTCCAGAGGTTTCTGAAGACTCCCCCGAGGACCCACCCCTCCAGCCGGGGCTCTTAATCGCCCCCGCAGCCTCTTTGCCTTCTCTCCTTTCCCTCCCGCGGGCAGAGGCTGCAGGTGCAGGAGCTGCAGCTGCAGTGGCAGCATTAACCCCTTGTGTTCCCCGTACTCTCCCTGCCCGTCCCGCTACCAGCCCGTGGGTGCCGGCACTGGCTGGAGAAGGAAGGAGGGCTCGAGTAGCTCCCAGGATAACATAATCCAAAAGCCGGATAATCGAAGCGGGGCTGCAGTGATGGAGAGATGAGAAGGGGAGAAGGGATCCCGGCGGTCACCACCTGTCCCGCCGCAGCCAGGTCACAACACGACATTGATGAAGTCGAACGACAGAGCGGCGATGAGATCACACTTCACGATGGCGCGGTGATGTCACGGAGATCACAGCGAAATCACGACATGAAGGGGGACAGCCCCCAAATATGATAGGGCAAATTTTTAAAATATATATATATATATATATATAGGTAGATAGCTACTGAAAGGGGCTGTGACAAAATGGAGTCTCGACAGGGTACGGTGATGTCGCGGATGGTACGATGGAGTCGCGATAGGGTCCCTGGGGAGTCTCGGCATCGATCAGCGCCCGCTCGGAGAGGCTCCGGCTGAGATGCAGGGGAGGGCTTGAAGGGGGCTGAGCTCACCAGGCTGCGGCCCCGAGCGGCGAAGTCTTTCTCCGGGCGCGATGCTCTGGGAGCCTGGGGCCGCTGCTCACGCCGCGTTGCCCACTCTTGGCTCTAGGCTGCCACAGCTCCACCCCCACCCCCGCATTACTCTCGACCAATCCGCGCTGGCCTCACTCCGCGCTCTAACCAGTAGCGCGGCAGGGCGCTGAGCAGTAGGGGGGGTGCCTCCGCTGCGGCCATCTTGCTTGTGGGCACTGCCCGAGTCTGGGGCCCGGGCGCTCGCGCTCAGGAGGAAAAGTGCAGGCCGCCCCGCGAGGGCTCGAGGCAAAAGGCCGAGGGCCCGGACGTACTCGCTCGTGCGTAGCTCTCCCCTCAGTACTGCCCCTCCTCCCACCTTGGGCTCGCGGCTGGAATTGCGCTTCCGGAGGGTGGGGGCGGGAGGGCTGGATCAGCAAGAGGAGTGTGTTTCCGGGTTGAGCTCCGGGGAGGCGGGAGGAGGCGGCGTTTCCGGCCGCGGTCGCTGTCCAGGGAGTCTGAGGCAAGAGGGAGCTGTCCGGGTGGGGAGCCAGCACTTCCTTCTTTCTCTTCCTCCTCCTCCTCCTCCTCCTCTGCGTGAGGGGAGAGAAGGTTGGGGGTCCCCGAGCCCATGGACCGGGAGGAGGCGGAGGCCGCCGAGAGCCGGCACCCCTCTGTGTGGCCCTGAGCCCCGGTAGGTGGCCGGGGCGGCTGGCTGCCAGGCCGAGGACCATGAGCTCAGGGGAGGGGCAGAGGCGGGACGGGCGGTGCCTCGGGGTACGCTGGCCTGGCGTTGGGACCCGGAGACGTCGCTCCTGGCCGGGCCAGGGCAAGTCAGCTGCTTCTAGCCTTGCAGGTGCCGGTCCCTAACTGAACCGCCGCTTTGGGGCTCAGGCCCGGTCGGGCAGTTCCCTCCATTCCCTGACAGACTGACAGACCAGGCTCCAGGTTCTGCTGTCCTTGTGACACCCTCGACCTCCGCAGCCTGGTCCGAGTTGCTGTCTCTGGTGTTTGATGCTCTCCCCATCGAAATCAAAAGAAAAAAAAGTTGATACAGAATAAAGGGGGCGGGGTTGGGCATGTTGGCGAAACCCGCCTCCTTGAGAATTTTGACAATTATGCCCCTTAGAGGGTCCTGCAGTGGCTGCAGTGAGCACGGAAGCAAAGTGAAGGAAAATAGAAAACCTCAGGCGGGGTTCCAGGAATGCTTTGCCTGCTCTTACCTCATGGTGATTGTGCCCAACCGACAGGAGAAGCGCATTAGCTGACTTTCCTTGTGCTTTCTTGTGATTAACAGACTGGAAACTGGGAACAAGTTGGAAAGACGACCTCCTAGAACAATCTGTTCATTTCTCCAGCTATTTGGAAAACAGTGTCTGCAAATATAAGCAAAGCTATTCGTGGCAGTCTGTTCTGTAACTTTCTCAAATATCTAAGACTCCTTCCCCCGCCCCTCCCCTTAAAGCTTTATTCTTGATTACTCACACTCGCTGAATAGACGTGCTCTGTCGTTATTCAAACATATCTTATCGCTGTGTATATAAATGGAGTTCCACGTATGTAGCTGACAGACTGAACTATGATACATTCCCCATCAACCTGAAGTATTAAGTAAACATTACCCCCTGCTCTGTCTGAACAGCTGCTGCAACAGAGCGCTTTTATTTCGGGTGTACTTGTAACGCCCTAAATGCCAGAACTACTGGGAGCTTTTCTAGATTTTCATTTGTCAAGTATTGTGTGGGGGTGTGTTCTCTCCCTGGGCTGTTACTCTTTGATTTGATAACAAACACTTTGGATCTTAGCAGTGTTTTGTTGTTCCTGCCTCTGGTCAGCAAACCTTAAACTGGACCCTAGCAGTGGTTTGTGCCCATTGGCAATTGTAGGTTTCAGCCGAATAAAGGGTTGGGAGTGCAAATGAAATTAGCTCTGCCTCTTTCATGCACTTCTAATCGGTTTGCTAGTCCAATGGTGTTTATTACTCCTGTTTTCAAAGTCTGTTCATTTCTTTTTTGCTTCTCCCACCCACCTGCCAGGATATTGATGACAGGTGTTGAGTCACCTTTAGTTTTAAATCCTTTTGTGGTAGGCAGAAATGTGCTGGGTAAGATCCACACACACACTCACGAACACACGCATACTCTACGCTCCAGCCTGGGAGGCTGGAAAAGTTTTTGGGTATAGTTTCTTAGGCTCTATTTTATAGTCTTTTGCATGTGCTTATGGCCCACACACTTCTTTTCTTGCTCCCTGCTCCCTTATGTACAGGAAAACTAGAAATAAGAATGGGTGGAAGGAAATGAGAGAGAGAAAGTCCTCCAGGTGCCTATGCTCAGTGAAAGGCATTGCCTTGATTCTGTGTGGTATGTTTGTGTCTCTTCATTTCCTGGCATTGGTATTGGAATCCACTCCAGGCAGTGCTGGTCTTCTTGTATGCTGGCTGGCTGCCTGGAGGTGAGGGTTAGGGTTGTCTACCTGTGCTGAAGACAGAAGAGTTTTAATTTTTTTTTTTTTTTTTTTTTGAGAGAGGGTTTCCCTGAGCCTTGGCTGTTCTGGAGCTTGCTCTGTACAGCCTGGCCTTGAACTCACAGAGATCCACTTGCCTCTGCCTCCCAGGTGCTGGGATTAAAGTTGTGAACCACCACCACTGGTGCAAGATTTTTAATTTTTTTTTTTTTTTGAGACAATGTCTCAATATATTGTCTAGGTTGACCCTGAAGTCTTGGATTTAAGAAATTCTGCCTTAGCTTTCCAAGTGCCTAGGGCTTCCGGTTTGAGATACCATGACAAAGATTTTTGAATTTTTTTTTTTTTTTTTTCAGAACCTTGTCAACTCATTTGTTGTTAAGCTTTATATAAGAGAGAAGAAACTTCTGGAATATGAGCGTCATTCTCCTCTCCCCAACTGGAACTCACAGCTGCTCCATTACAGAGCAGCCAGCTCAGAGCCTAAGTTAAACATATGGGGGAAAGTGTGCAAGAAGTAGGGATTTACAAGTGACTTGGATCAGAGAGATAATATAAAAGTGTAAATCAGGTGGATTTGTAAGATAGTGCTGGTGGGGACCGTGCTTGTTGTGCCTAAAGAGAATCACCTTGAAAAACTATGGCAAGACTGGGCTGTGTAATCATGATTACTTAGAGGAAGTCCAACCTCTCCATAGAGAACAAAGTACTTTGGTCACAATCACAGAGCAGTCAGTGGAAGCAGAAGTGGAAAACCAAAGCTGTTCTCTCAGGTTGGTGCTCTTTGCCATTCTGTCACGTAGATGATTTTCTGTTAGATTAGACAATAATGGAATATAAGATGTTTCACTTTAACAGCAGATTCATTTTATATCTCTTGCTCTGTTTTTACACTGATAATTATAGGCTATGCCAAAGCTCAGGCTGAACATTTACTGGCAGGGATGAACATTGAAAGACACACTTGAAATTTCTCTTTCTCCTGATCTGTCACAATTTCTAGCATTCCACATTTCCAGGAATCAATTATTAATTACTTGGCATGTAATTTCTTCTCTTCCTGTCTTTCTAGTGTACTGGTTCCATCTCTCTGGAAGGCCATGGAGAAGAGACTGGGAGTCAAGCCAAGTCCCACTTCCTGGGTTTTGCCAGGATATTGTTGGCAGACATCAGTGAAGCCGCAAAGAAGCCTCTACCTGCTTTACACTTTCTTCTGCCTCAGCACTCTGTGGACATCAACAGGTATCAGTTTTGAGATTTAACCTCTTCTGCCCTGCACCTCCCCCAAACAATCAGCACCCTGAATTCCTGGGTTTAAAGATCTACCAGAAGGCAGGAAAGCAATCTGCTGACAGAAACAGTTATCATTTTGGTGGGTGTTTACTTGTTGGGTTTGCTTTTGTTTTGTTTTGAGGCAGCGTTTGTTTGTGCATGTGTGTGTATGTGTGTGCACATCTCTCTCTCTCTCTCTCTGTAGCTCTGGCTGGCCTGGAACTCACAGACATCAGCCTGCCTCTGCCTCTGCCTCTACCTCAGCCTCTGCTGGGATTAAAAGCGTGTGGCACCATATCCTGCTTGGTTTGTTTTGGAATCAAGATATTAATTGGGTTTTTTCGCCATTTTATAAAAGTAGATTGACCAAAAGAACAAAATAAATAAAACTTTTCAGAGTTGGATAGATTAGGGTCCTGGAGCTGGACATTGTCACGTAATGACATGTTACCTAAAGGGCACATAACCTAAAGGCTTTTTACCTTTTTAAGTGGGCTCTCACTTTGTAGCCCAGACTGGCCTTGACCTCATGATCTTCTTGCCTTGCTGGACTTACTTAGATCTGCCTCATAACTTGACTTGGGAGATAATATACTAAAAGCATGTAATGCTGTGTGACCATAACTGCTTAGTAAGTGATACTTTGCTTCCTTTCCTAGAGAAATCCATACTTTGTTTTTGTTGTTGAGACAGGGCATTACTCTGTGGCCCTGGATGGCCTAGAACTGGAAATGTAAACTAGGCTGGCTACAGACTCACAGAGATATGCCTGCCTCTGTCACCTGAGTGTTAAGATTGAAAGTATGAGCCACCACGATCGGTGGAATCTCACTTTAACAAATTTATCTATTTTAATTTGGAGGGTCTACACATGCGTGCATTGACAGTGTGTGCAATGGCGGTCACAAGACAGCTTTGTGGAGTCAATTCTTTCTTCCATCTTTATGTGGATTCTGAGGGTCAGATTCAGGTGGTCAGGTTTGCTTGGCTGAGCCATCTCACTGGCTCTACATGTTTTGTTGTTGTTGTTTAATAGAAAAGAACCATGTTGATAGACTTCATGGAACATACTTTCCTCCTCAGACAATTTCACCTCCTTAGAGCCTCTTGCCAGGCATCAGTGCCAAGAAGGCTAAATGTCAAAAGCCAAAATTAAAAATACGCTTACTGTCTTTACTCTTTCAGTTCTTTTGTTGACATGGGTTTCTTTCATAAATGGAATGTGAGAAAGCAGCAACTAGAGAAAGACCTCTGAGTATGTCCATTTCTGGACAATGACCAAAAGCCTTCTGTTGTAGAGACTATTGTCATGGCTGACTATTCAGCTTGTACTCCAACAGATCTGAAGATTTCTGTCATTGTCATGATTGAGACAGGGTTTCTCTGTGTAGCCCTGGCTGTCCTGACCGTCTTTGTAGACTAGGCTGGCCTCGAAACTCACAGAGATCCGCCTGCTTCTGCCTCCAGAGTGCTGGGATTAAAGGCGTGTGCCACCGCACTTGGGACCATTGTCATCATCTTGAGAATCAAGTAATTACTGTACTTAGCGGTTTTGGTAGCACTCACGATGGGTTTTTGTTGTCTTGCAATGGTAGCTGAAGGTTGTGTGGTTATAGTGGTGGAGATTGCAGTAGATAGAAAGCTGACCCAAATATTTTTTTATATAAAATGATTCTTGTTGACTAATTCTGGGTATTGTTTTATGTAAGATAATTTGAATTAAGTAATTTAGTACCATCACATTAGGACAATCATTTGAAAGTGTATAAATCATATACCATATTTCTAAAAACACTGCATATCTTCTTGTTTAATTTTTGTGATAATTCTGAAATAGATAGTTTGTGCTCATTTAGTAAGGAAATTGAGACCCAGAGAAGTAAAATTACTTGGCTAGAGCCAAATAGCAAGAACATGGACAACAAGGTCCCAGTCCAGCTTGCTTGCTGTTGAGTTTGCTTTCTTCTGTTCCACCACAATTCCTTCTGAACATAGGTGATTCTTGGAGGATCAAAGTTGTTTTTTTGTTTTTTTCCCCCAGAACCATGTTAAGAAGCTGGTCATTTAAAAGGTTCAGAGTGTAAGGGAAGGAGTACAAGGACTCAAAAAGCAATTCAGAGTCTTTCTGCATTTTTTGCTTATTCTTGGATAAAAGTAGAATTGTGGGGGGATTTCAGATTTAGATAAGAAATTATCTTTAATCTATTCTGGTGAAGATTAAAGTGAAAATATCTAGGGACTTGGGATACAGGCTGGTGGTAGAACACCTGACTCATATGTGAAAGGCGCTGGGTTCAACTCCACACTGCAACAAAGCAAAGAAAGAAATAGTGCTGCTAAGGGAGATGCGGTGGCCCCAAACAGTGTGAGAAAATTTGAACAGAAAACATTTTGTCATAAACATCAGGAGATCTAAAAAAGTTCAGATTCCTTGACTTAATTCTCCTTTTAAGTTTTGGGGCTGGAGAGATGACTCAGTGGTTAAGAGCATAGGCTACTCTTTCTGAGGACCCAGGTCTGTCTGCTAGAACTGATATGGTGGCTCACAACCATATGTAATTCTAGTTACAGGGGATCTGACTCCTTTTTTTGACCTCTGTGGGTACGAGGCATACAAGTGGTGTACATATATACATGCAAACAAAACACTCAGATACAATTTTTTTAAAAGTTGGTTTTGGTGGGAGAGTTTGGGGGGAACTGGAGAGATGGCTCAGTGGTTGACAGCATTTGTTGCTCTTCCAGAGGACCTGAGTTTGGTTCCCAGCACCTGTGTCAGGTGGCCAACAACTTCTGGTTTTTGAGGGCACCTGCATGTATGTGTACACAGTGACATACATAAATAAAATGAGTTTATCTCAGATACATAGTGAGACCTTTGCTTTAATGTGTGTGTATGTATATGAATATGTCTTTGATGTATATGTATATTTCAAAAGCTAGGTATAGTCATTCATGTCTGCAGTGTAATTCTTTTGTTTTTGTTTTCTGGGTTTGTGTGTGTATGTGTTTTGAGACAGGGTCTCTCATTATAGCTATGGTTATCCTAGAACTTGATATATAGACCAGACTGGCTTTGAACTCACAGAGATACACCTGACTCTGCCTCCTGAGTGCTGGAATTAAAGGCATGTGCCACTATGCCTGGCTCTTTAATGTAATTTTACAGAAGGACTGCTGTGAGCTCTAGGCCAGACAGGCCAAATAATGAAGCCTTTCCTCCCCTGGTTGCTTTTGGTCATGGTGTTTTATCATAGCAACAGAAAAGTAACTAGAACAGATACTGACCAGTGTTTCCTACTTTAGAAGAATGAATATGTGGGGAGACAGCCTAAGCAAAATGGTAAAGGCAAGATAAAATAACTGCATGTTTACTATGGTACCAATGGTATGAAATGAAAAAAATCACATAATAGAAAATAACCTCAACTAAAATATATAACTGAATGTTTACATATTATGATCTCTTTTTATTCTTCTGTTTTAACAACAGCTTCCTCCTCCTTTTCCCCTTCCTCCTCCTCCTCTTCCTCTTTGTAGCTGAAAATCTACCAGGAAATGCAACAACAGAGTGACACAGGTGAAAACCAGTTCAGGCAGCCTGAGTTGCTGCTCAGCTACTTGTATTTATTTAGCTGTTACCTGAGCACTTACATTTTTCCCTGATAAAAGATAGGTTTTCTTTTCTGTTATAATTTAGCTCATGGATTATATGAATTCTTCCTGAAAAAACTAATGAAAAATAAGGGAACTCTTCAGTTACCACCCATCCCTGGGTACCACTCAGTAGTTGACCTCTCCTTTGGTAGAGCTCCAGGTACCCACTGACGTCATTTAGTTGGCTCCTTTTCATCTCGGCTTTGGACTCAGTGGTGAAGCCCACTACTAGAAATGAGTGATTATGATTTGTCTGATAAAAGATACCCTGTCTTCCTTGTGGGCTGTTGAGTCAGTGTTTTTCTGTATAATTTTGCTGCTGTGTGGTTTGAAAATAGCATTTTTGGACCTGGTGATTATCATTTGGAAACAAACGTGAGATGACCCTAAGAACTTGGAAATTCCTCAGTAGTTAATCAGCTTCTTAAGAGCAGGAATTTGGCCTTTTTATGCTTCTATGAGGCATTTCAAGCAACTATAAAATTTGGTACATAAATGTACTATAAACGTATTTGTTGGCTGAATAATACATTAGCAATAAGAGGATTATTTTTTGAAAATTAAATTGTAAGACCAGCATAATCAGAGTAGAGGTCTACAAAGACAACTTAAGGATACATAAGGCCTTTGAAACCAACAGATGGAATTAAAATCTGAACTGTATTAACATTTCCAAACAGGCAAGTGTATATCTGAAGAGTTATGTGTGTATGGGACATAGACCTAATTGGCTTTGGAATCTTAAGATATGGAGGCCAATATAGGCCTGAAGGTAGCAGTTGCCTCGGGAAAGTACTTGATCTTCTGCCTCTAAGAGGGAGATTTATACCTGGATAATTATTAGAGAAGCTAGTAGGACTCTGGCTCCAGATGAAGCAGCAGGATAACATCAAATGCAGCACAGCCATTGCCCTGAAAAAATGTCCAGTTTGATGAGAGAAACAAACACTATTTTATTTGGTATGAAAAGATGGAGGGATTCAGGCCCCATGCTGCCGGAACCAGAGAAGCATTTTCTTGAGAGGTGAAGGAGAGAGTCAGGAGTCCTTTCTAAAATGCTTATACATGGGCAGTTTTGAAAGTTGAACCTGAAGGATGCAGAAGGTACAATGGGTCAATGAGCACTCAAAGCAAAGATGCATACGCACTGAGCCCTGCTTAGTGCTACAGGAAGGACAGGCAGTTCCTGAAGAGTTTGGGAGTGACCGGGACATTAGGAGTCTTAGTTGCCATGCCCAGGAGCCTCAGTTTTAATCTTCTTTAGAGAGGTTGTACGCAATCTATCTGCTCTGTAGCCCAGGTAGTCCTTGAAC